GTAAATATACATAAAGTTGCTTTGAAATTGTTTTGGGTTATATAATTTACGTTTTATATTTTATCCTCAGCCTAATTGGTCAAATGTCACCATAATTGTCGCAAAATATAAATGACATAATCATAGACGTCCTATTCGCGTCATCATTTGCTTTCTTTTTTTTCTTTGGAAAAACATGTAAAGAGAAAAAGAACTTAAAACAATAGCATTCTCATTTTTTAGTGCGCTAGATCTTATTGCTCACTGATATTGTTCAATATAATATCATAAAAATATTTTTTTTATTATACGGGTATATAATTATACATTCCTTCTTGATTTGACATTTCACATATACTCATATAGTTATTTTAAAGCGGATTATAGAGGAAGTATAGAAAGTATATATTTGAAATTACCACTGATGTTTATTGCTTATAATATCTGCCCAAACATAAAACGCATGCGACATTTCTTTAGCTTGATCGAAAACACAGGAATACTAAATTCCTAATATTCCAAAATAAGCATAAATACTCAACATAAATAAATAACATCAATAAATTATTTTTATTTTTATTGATGCATTTTATTTTATTTTTTTATTGGACTAGACGTTAAAGTTATATGTACGCATATTTGGAGGGGCGGGGGATTAGGGTAAGGGACGGTGAATAGTGGATAATATATTCTCTGAAAATCTAGGGTTAAAGCTTCAGAAATTTACGTTTAAACCAGTCAGGGAAATGCATGTCAAAGGTTTTTTTGTATGGATTATCTTTTAGTGAGATAATATTATAAAACATTAGATAGAAGCGAAATGTAATAATTCTTACTAAACAATTTCAGCGGAAACGTGCGTATGTAAGTACAAATGCTTAACTAAACAATTAAAATGCATGTAATAGTTATCACCGACCTTGTAGAGAATAACGCAGAGGTTTTATGTGATGCGTTATTACCTGCTAGACCATAATATCAGATATTCTTAGACTATAACTCTTTCTTTTTAAGCATGTGATATGTTACTAACAGGTCTAAAATTTATTCTATAAATATATAATAAGTAATTGATGATTTAATCAAATAAGCTACTATAGTCTGTCCCATTAAAAATGAAAATGAACTTTTGCCTTGTGTGAATTAACAAAACGAGGTTAAATAAAAAAATTAACTATTTTTGTAAACTAAAAAAAAGTCACCCTCGAGATTTTTCATGATTTTACTCTAAAGTGTCTACTTTTCTTGTGAAAGCAAATTTCGAGTTCTCTTTGGTAAATCTCTGTTGTTTATTTTCCGTAGCCATTGCCGAAGTATATTTGAAGATGAACGGGAGAAAGTCATGTTTCTAAAATATACATGAGGTTCTCGGGGTCGTTTCATGATTATCTTATAAAGCAGGATCTACAAGATGTAACAGTTTAGTTGCAATGCATGATGGAAAACTTTAAAAATAAAAAATAAGCAATAAAAACACCGAGTCACATGGCGTAGATCTAGCAATTGCACTTACTTTTAAGCTGAATAGAATCCCTATCAGTTTCGGAATAGATTTTTATAAACGTCACGACAAATTCGCATTCTGAAGATTCCTTCATTGCCAGTTTGTTTCTATCCAGTTCCGTAGATCCCACTTTTTTACTTCAAAACTCCTGAATGACATGACTCCTACACTTATGATACTCCAGATTTTTTCAAACTGTTAATCCGTCTCATTATAAAAACATTGTTTAATTTGTGGAGTTATCTGGGTTAGCAAATGAAATATGTAAATGAAACACATCATAATTCAGCATGTTCCAAATCCATAATTCAAGAACGGCCCATCAAATTTAGTTGTCAACATTTACGAAATATATGACGTAACAAAAATGCCTCGCGCTTTTTATGGATGATTCTATTTGCGGCATTGACAGAGGGCGGTTAGGCATATGTAACCTCAAACAGATAATTTTAAGCGTTGAGATAAATTTATCTTGTTGACATTTATAATAATTTTTGTATACCCAGATTTTGCAACTTAACTGTAAAAAATACACCTTCAATTCATATATGAATAATAAAACTTTTGATAACATTAAAATAATTTTAAACACACTTAATGACATGAATCTACAACAGGACAATACTTCTTCCATTAATGACATATAACATTCGTTTTTGCCTTTTTGACACCAACTTTGTTCTCATTTTTCATTTTAATGATAACATTTAGCTATTGATCAGTGGGTAAATAAGAATAATCATTTTTTTATAATAACCTATTACATTTCACGCTAATTGTGAGACGAAACCTAAATGACGTCTATATTGGCGCCGCCATTTTAAAATGAACGTCACGTCAGGTTACAACGTAAGTCAACGGGAAAAAATATAATTTTAACATTTTGACCATATTACTGACTTTATGAAAAAATGAAAAACATGCCTAGAGATATTGACGTCATGGTTAACATGACATTAATTTAAATGATTCAACTATTATATTAAATAAAAAAATGTAATGTTCAAATTTGATGGGACAGATTATAGTCATCTTATTCAATTAATGTTTCATTTATTATTAATTTTGTAAAAGATCGATAGATTCCAGTGCCGCTAAAATGGGCTGAATGCATCGTTAGTAATCTGTCATATGGTCGACAATAAAACATTAATTTGGTCTGATATGTTCGAGTGTTGAAGGTATCCGCAACGTAATGAAGGAATTACGAGTTATGAGATATGTACGGCTTAACGGCATAAGTCGTAATTAGAACCGATGACTTAAATGAGTTTATATTTTGATCAGGCTAAAACGATAGGTTTACGAAATATTTCTTTCGTCACTGTGTAATCTGATAAAACGGTATTCATCGCATTATATCGAGGTATCGTTATATCTTAAACTTGAATATTCAAGATAGCAATCTATCAAGGTATAATAGGTTGCTTCAAAATACTTGATGCAAAGATATTTCAGACAAAATTTTACACATATACTTTATAATAAAATTGTTCCTTTAGGCAAAACCTGGAGTAAGTAATTATGCTTCCTAGCTTACTTGCAAAACAACCTTATGTGCCTTTGAAGTGTCAGTGTTGTTCGTTTGTTATACATTGTTTCATTTCTCATTTGACAGTGTTTATTTTATTTCTGCCATTGTTTATATCAGAGTTATTGTAGCATTGTTCAAACCTTTGCTTCGGTATTTTCCTGTGTGACACGGGGATATTTTGTGGAACAATATTCATTCCTTTGAATATATTGTATTTAGTATTGTTGTGAATACATGTACGTAAACCCTTTCAGGAATAATCGACAGTACACCTTTTATTCATACAATTTTATTCAACCAATAACAGGAGCCACGAACAAATTAAAGAAAAATAACTCAATATTTTTTATTGCATTTAAATTTACATTTTTCACTTATTACTTAATGTATGATAATGTCAAAATTAAAAGTAAATCGATGCTGTTCTATCTTGCAAAAACCCAATAACACAATTATTTCTTCTTAAAAGTTTTGATATAATTGTAACTTGATTTCTGTGTATGAGTATGACTATGACACGAATTCCACCAAAATCTGTTATAGGGGTGATCTTGTACAAAAATATTACATCGAAAAGTTATAAATCATATATGTGGCAATATCTGTTACAAAAGTACTGAAATATGTTAGCAAAAAACATTAAAGTGACATTATGCTCATATTTTCATGGTCAAGTTGAGCTTAATTGACTTTATATTAAAAAATAATGACTGCTTGAATGATGTAAAACCAACTGTTTATATTGGAAAATGTTTAGGATAAAATTTCAAATCTGGCTTAAATATAAAAAAAACTGTCCCATTCTGTATATAAATTGAACGGTACAGGTAAATTCTGATATTTACAGAAATTCCTTTTGAATCAGGCCGCTTTTTTGTTTATGGAAAGTAAATTATTAAATCCAAAGGAATTATGGCAAAATGAAAAATTATTTTCACTCTCACATGTTCACTCCCTATATACCTTAAGATTGGCATAATATCACTTTAACAGTCTGTCTTTATAAATTTATTAAATTTACTAATATGAATTTGAAAATAATGACAGCAACCACAAACAAACTGTTATTCTTTATCAACATAAATTCTGACTATTTTCAGGTATGGAAAATGGCTGGAGCGGGTTGGGCACTGGCCTTTATAATGTCATTACCGGTGATGGGTATATTTCATACAAAAGCTAACAGCGAAAATGGGAAGATATACTGTGAAAACATTTTTCGCAATCTTCCACTTCTGCACAGACAGATATGGGTCACATGGAATTTTTTCGTTGTGTTCTTTGTACCTTTGATCATGTTAGTTGTTTGCTACACGAGAATATTTTTGAAAATATCTAGAAAAGCTAACCAGAACAGCGTCAAACATAAGCCAGGAAAATTGTGTTTGCAAAGCACACATTCGAGATCCCTGCCTAGGGCCAAGCTTAAAACGCTGAAGATGACATTTGTGATAATTCTGACGTTTATTGTCTGCACGATGCCATACTTTATAGTAGAAATGATAATGAGTTATGGTAATCATTGTATCATTTCCAAGAAATTATACGCACTTTTGGGCGGTATGGCTGCTTGCAATTCAGCGACAAATCCCTATGTATTTTTGCTATTCAATGTACAATTTAATAACCTTAAAAAGCTGTGTAACTGCAAAGAATCGGATAGTCCTATGAGTAGGGGACAGCAATCCTGCCATACTGGGACAACGGGAGTATCATCCCATTCAACAATTCATAAGAACAATATAAATCCAAATCCATTCTTTCGTCAGGATACAACAGATAGCCAAATGGAAATGAAAGTTATGTTTCTTGGAAAATAATCATGCTTCACCATGGAGAGCATTAATGTGCAATTGAATAACACATTGGATTCCTAGAAAAAATCATGTTACTGATTATAGTGGATTGGTCAATTTAAACAAATATGTAAATATTAAAAAAACACTAGAAGTGTATCATAGTGATTTATATAATATGTCGTTCAAAGTTTTAAGTGATTTATTATGTATATACATATCCAAATCCATTCTTTCGCCAGGATACTACAGATAGCCAAATGGAAATGAAAGTTATGTTTCTTGGAAAATAATCATGCTTCACAATGAAGAGCATTAATGTGCAATAAAATAACACATTGGATTCCTAGAAAAAATCATGTTAGTGATTATAGTGGATTGGTCCATTTTAAACAAGTATGTAAATATTTTTAAAAAAGCACTAGAAGTGTAATCATTTTGATTTACATAATATGTCGTTCAAAGTTTTAAGTGATTTATTATGTATATAGATATGATGAATAATAATATCTTAAAAAATGTTTTTGAACAATGTATTATCTGCAATGTATATTTAGATATTATAATATTATAATAAAACATCACATTTGAAAACCACTAGCTTACATGTATATAATCATTTTGTTGTTTATTGTTTTAGTGATGATAATAACTTTGTATGATATTATAAACCTTGCCTAATGGACCATTTCGCTAGAAAAACTTAATTGAATATATTGTTAATTTAATTATGACAATACAAGGCACTTACTGTGATTGTGCTTGAATGCTACTTTGTCGTGTTTTAAAATCTTGTCCTTAATATGCTTTGTTGGATAATATAATTGCAAAGTTATATAGCAGAAACAAATATTATAATAGTAAATTGTTACATATAAATGTCGTAAAACGAAAGGGCTACTATAGACTGAGAGCATAATAAATATGAATAAGAATTTGGTTTAAATGATATTACAATGTTAATCAAAATATTGTATGAAATTGCTTAGTATTTTAATTATACATGTTTCATCATTTGTTTGTTCTTTTGAAACTGACGTCATAGATATATAAGTAAAATGATTAATTATATAATTATCAAAATAAGAAAATAATAATATTTTATGTTCTCAGGAATAAGTTGTATGTACATTGGTTATATTTTAACACTGTTATATCCAATGTCAGATATAGAGGTGCAAAATCAAGATTCTAAGCTCAAAGGTCACAGCAAGGAATTTATCCCGACGCGTATGCTGTAAAGTCCAACAAAAAAAACCTCTGCATGCACGATAAAATTTGAACACATGATCACCATAAACAGACACAGTGTTACGTGTAAGATATAAGCCCGAGCTTAATGATAATGGTCACAATACGGTATTGAACATTTCCAAATGTGTTATAAAGTCTGACCGCTTGTATTTGTGTCCGCCAAATCACAGTTTCATGCATCAAGAAAAGACCGGTCTGAAATCTAAAACTTCCTGTAAAATTTACATCTGGGAATCTAATTGGCCATTCTAAACTAAAATGTAAGGGCCGTTATAAAATAAAATGTTGAGGATAGTTCTAAAATAAAAACAGGATTGTTCTTTAACGCTCTAGTTAAATTGCTCAGAAATTCAGGTTATTTTTAATAAATATATTTCTCCCACAAAACATTTTATATTGCATTCAGATCTCATGACATTTTCTAATGAACACTTTATTTTACGTAAGAACTTACGGACTTTATTTTACACAAGATTTGGTTTTAAATTTTTTCTTAAAACGAGAATAGTATTAGAACCTATCAGATACCCTATGTTTATGATGTTCATAAGTGTCTAACATATTATATGATCATTGATGTGTTCAATTTATACAATGTTTATATTTTTTGTATATGTTTGCACATTAATCATATTATAAAAATAATTGAATACCGACTGCGTAGATGTTGGTGTTAGAAATTGATGTCACTTACCGAGCCCCGACAGGTTTGTTTAGAAACACATAAATCTTAATGTGTTCTATTGTCTACGATTAATTACGCTGCAAATAATTATTATGTTATTGTTATTCAAGCTATGATAACATTTCTATAAAGCTTTGCATGGAAAACTAAAGCCTAACGTATGCAAGTTAAGAAGTTTTACTGCGGTCGAGCATCCTTTTTTTAAAGATACTTCCTGTTTCCCTTTGGTAGATATTCAAAATAGTTGGCATAATGTGTCTACAGGGGATGTATTTTAGGGCTAAGTTGGTAATTGGAGAAAACATCTTATTACAAAGACATAAACACTTGTGTCGTTATTTTAATGTTTTGATTCAATATAATTTTCCTCATTCAATATGCAAGAATTTTCACTCAGAAGAGAGAAAATAAAAAAACTAATTACAGCAGCGCACAGCGCGAGTGAATCGTGTAAGAAACATTTATTTTAATTATAGATAAGACGTCTCATGACATCATAGAAATCTCTATCCATCTTGCGTATTCTTATATAACTTTCTATGTATAGGATAAAAGCAAATATTAACTTTCAACATTGTGATATGGCGTATGGCTTGGGTGTCTTCTGGGTGCCCTACTTGGGTGTGTTGGGGGCTGCGTCCTGTGAACGTTGCCTTTACCTCTTGTTTTTTCTTTGGGGGGGTATTTTTTAGAGAAAAAGCTCAAAAGAGCAACAATCCTTAATGATAATGGTAAATAATAATTGATGAATAATTACAATAATTGTTAGTATCGTATTGTTACTTTCACTTTTCACACAAAGTGAATTTGATTCACCACTCACCCAACATGAAACATGCTCAAATATTTTGTAGCTTTTGATCAAACTAATAGAATATTCTTGTAAAGGTAAACTGTAGTTCCTGATTTAGGATTTAAACTGATTCTTCGAATAAGAAATATATTGAAAGTTAGAATATAAAAAAGGCAATATCAGAACACTTTCACTTGTATTTTCCTGTAAAATCTTTAAAACATCATAACTATTGTAATTCAGCTATTAATTAAGATAGGAGAACATGGGGAAAGCATGTAATTATCTTTTGTTCAAGCTTTCAGAGTTTGAAAATAACATTTCATTTGACGCATTAATTATTATCATTTCCAAAGAATGCAAACAAATTCAAAAAATATATAAAAAAATGCAAACAAAAATAGAAAAATGAAGAGCAAACAGACAGAATGAGGAAAATGTTATTGCACTTAAAAACAACTAATTTCAAATGAAGTCCTATAAAAAAATTTTCGTCAATCATATTTCGAATAAAAAATCTTGATAATGTGTCAAATTCATTTTGGCAAAGTGGTTTAAGTGCAGTTGGACCTGTGTGACCTAAGACTATGTTGTGATATGCAGGCTTCATAACCTCTGATTCCCTTTCAAAATTACGTTTAATTGGGTTCCTCCAATTGTTTTCTCGTTCAAGGCACACGCATTCAGTAAAGGTAATACCATACGCCGCAATGATGGAATGGTACTAACATGTCACATTGACGGTTCCATGATAACCGCCACATAAACATATCTGTGGATGTTTCTTTTTATCTCCATATTTTTAAGGTCGCTAAGCTAGAACATTATGTACCTGGTCGGTATTATACTTGAATTTGGGTTTCTGTCATGTAAAGAAGCTATTCACTTAGCTTATACAAGTATGGTAGTTCTACCAAGGTACTTGTTTGTGCCTGAAGTTATGGAACTATACCATTAAAGTTGTAATGTCGGAAACTGATCTTAGCTGTATTTGTGAGACAGTTATCAAATTGATCATGATAATGATAGCATAATTTAATTTTCCTTACATAACATATGTAAGGCAAGTTAAATGAAGAATGTAATATGTTTTTTTTCCAATCGTATAATTGTGACCAGTAAAATTTAAAAGTGTTGCTTAATGTGTTCTTTTACCTCCAATACAGATGAATGATAGTCTATAAAAGTCCTTACATCAGATTCATTATGTAGAGTAACTGAATGGGAATACGTTTGAGATAAAAATTAGAAATTATGTGGATTGAAGCAGACAAAATGTCATCAATTCCTGTGTTAGATCTGAAATATATGTTATAATTCTACAGAGAATGGGACTATACTCTAAAATTACTAATGAAACAAGCATCAATTAGTTACGCATCACTAGCTTAACACATTCTTGGATTAGGATTAAAGCAAGAATGCAACAAGGAAACATACCACTGTTATGACAGGTGGTTGATAATCAAAGTTATTTATCAACGAGGAATGGTATTGTTATCACTGGAAAATAATCTGGCAAGAAATAACAAAGGTTTTCCTTTGCTAAAAAGAAAAGATTATGACAGGCACACAATTGTTTACTTATTTAGAAGGTGTAAATATGATAATGTAAGTTTAAAAATAGTTCTAGAGCATGTTACATCCTGATCATCTGCAGCAAGTAAAGCTGAATGTAAACTATTCGTCATCAGGTAGCATGTAACATGTAAAAAAAATATTTCTTTGACTTCTTTACAAAAAAAATCACTAAATAACTTTAACTAGGAAATAAAAGTTAAAAAAGTAACATATTAAATAACGGTTCACGTAATCGACCTTTTACTAACCTTTTGTAACAGGACACCAAAAATAAAAAAGTTTTTGAGAAATAAAACTAAAAGCATTTCTGTTGAATTATAGACCTTAAAACTGTTTAATTATAAACCTTAAAACACGATCACCGTATTTTAAAAATGACTGTTTTAACATTTAACTACTTTTGTAAAGCCATATAAGTACGTAATAATATTTTATTGTACTCATAGGATCTTCAAAAATTGACGCGTCTTGTCAAATGAAGTCACACAAGAGACCAACAGACAAGAACTGGATGGAAATTTAAAACATTTTATTGACATTACTTTTAATTTGACCTTATGATATAGCATTGTGTTATCCTGGTTCAATCAAGTTCTCGCAGTTTTAAGGCTTAAAATAGAGGAAAACTAAATTATTATTGAACGTCTCTGACAACAAAATTGAAAACGATGCAGGTTCGGTTTAATTGAGTCTGTTCATTAACGGTAATGAAAACTGCAAGTTACCGTTTAAGCCCTACATAGCACCGGCTTAAGCAGAATTCAACATTTCAATATGAAAATGATGACATTTTGAACATCCGGAGACGTGTTTATACGGCAATTATCATGGGGCATCCATTGTGACACGTTATTGCCATTCCATAAAAAGCGGCGTATGGCCCTAAAATAA